ATAATTAAATAATATAGCCTGTCCTAGTATACCTTTATTTTTCTGCAAACACCATGTAGAAGTGGGACGAAGCTTATTATTGCTGTCTCACTACTGCATCCATTTTTTTTTTTAAACTAAGGAGTAGTGGGACAAGTACTGGACAATACCAAATTCCATTTTTAACGACTGTGATTTCATGCTTTTTACTGTAGTAATCATGCGAATGTCATCAGTCTAATATTTAATAGTAAAATTAAACTTAAATACATTTGTAGGAATAGTAGTTAAGCGAATGAGAGCATTGTTACCTGGTAAATAGACATAATCTGAGACCTAACCTCAATGCAATCTGTATTAATCCATCCTACTGAATGTAAAAAAATCAATTTTGCAGAAAATGATATATATTTTCAATAATTAATTTTCATTATATTAATATTGAAAAATAAAACTGAACAAAATCAATACCTCTGAAAATTGTCAACAGAAAAATACACGTATTAGTTTACTCACATTATATTTTCATTTGGTATTTCAGCCTTTCAAACTTGCTTCTTATCTCCACAGAAAAATAAAATAATTATCCTTTAAAAAATATATTTTCTGTAACCAATCTTAATTTTAAGATCAAGAAGGAAGCAGCTAAGGAAAACCGACAAGAAGTTTCAAGAGAGTAAAAAAACTGTTAGTAACAAAAAAAGAAATTAACTTGAAAATTAAAAATTAAAAAAAAATTTTTAAATAAGAAAACTGGAATGCAAATAATGACTTAATAGTACAGGAAATAAAAAAAATGTTTATCTAAACTAAAAGACAGTGAAAAAGCATTACGTGCATGTGAAGTATATGTATTGCAGAGCAAAATAAAAAGAAAAAAAGAAAAATTTCAAGACCTTAGAAGCTAACATTTGTTTTAAATTTGTGTTCATTATTATTATTTTCGTAGTTTGTATTGTTAAGAATTATATTATTTAGTTTATGTTGTATTGGACAATATTTTATCTCTTATTATTAACGGACATAGTAAGTAGGGATTTTGTGATATCGTTAAAAAAATATGTATAAAAGAGAAATTTCTATTAATCTATTATTTTTAATATTTATTTACTCTCAAAAGTGATAATTTACCTTCTTTAAATAAAAAATTGTGTTCTTACATATGCAAATAATATTGTCATATACTGTCTTACTACTACCACATACAGCGTCCTACTACTGCCGTTATCCTCAAAGATTATGTCCCACTACTGTAGATTTCACGACTTATTTAAAAAATTATTTAATTAAAAGGATAATGATGAACACAGTCAATAAATATTTTTTCTATAAGTAAAGACCTATATTTTCAATTTAAAAAAAAATTTAGGTGAATTAGCATTGGTGGAACGTCAAAAATAAGAAATAAATATTTTTTGCTTAAAAGAGTGTCCCACTATACCCCATTTTACCTTAAGTGTTTGGACCATTACAATATTCAAGTATTCAAAATATTTTTATTGATCAGGACATAGCCTTAAGTAGAAGTAAACTTCTACTACTGGAGATGAGTGATTTAACCTATGGCTTAAAAATAAAAAATCTTCTGTTATCTATTAAAGCATCTATTTAATATCCTGTAGTTCAAGCTCAATTTTTATTACTGTAGCAGCATGTTGTTATATGTAACTGTTCTTTGTTCTAGCTAGGTTGAATGAAAACACGTTAATTTTAGATAGTTTGTGGATCATTGAAATTCAGTTGATTTCAAGATTTTAAATAAAGCAGGTGGGCTATCAAGTCCTGCACCGTTCAAATCATAAAGATTATGAAACATATTTATTACCCTCAAATTTATAAGTATGTTTTAATAGAAAAAAAAGCCACATTATAATTGCTGATATTGTTGATGGAAGTAATACAATGATTAATGCATGGGTGATTAATAACTCTTATACTTCTTTAAATTCTTGCTAACTTTAAAATATATTCTACACATTTTCTGCCATATAACATAGGTTCTCTTGCCATGTACATATGTATACAAATAAATAGCTTACATTATGCTGAAAATCATTCAAGCTTTGAGTACATACATGGTTTCGGAGAACTTGATTCATAATAACACTATTATTTAAATTGTTATTTACACAATTAACTATGGCTGTATACGAATGAAATCTTTTTCAGTATTATGTACAGTATATATCTATGATAAAAAAATTTATTAAATCATACAATTCTATAACAAAATGAGTCTCGGCTTTTCTGCGTATTAAAAATTAACATGGTCTATAAGGTAAATGATCCCTATTCGTGGAATGTGTCCCTATTCATGGAATATGAAAATTTATGTATTTGTTATACAACTAACTTGATAAAAAAATTGTGGTAGTTGTATATTTTATGTATCTGTATGAATTCACAAAAAAAATTTTATTTTACAAACAATAAATGATAAATTTTAAAGATAATTCCATAAATAGAGACAGAGTCGTACATAACCTATCTTTTGAACTGTACGTATTATGGCACCAAACTTCAACGAGGAATTTATATACTTCTCGTCAACAAATAAACGATATCATTATTTTTGTTAAATAAAATAGTTTTCTGCAAGTAAAAAAGCTTTAATTATCTTGAAAAATTATACTAAATTTACGTTTTTTAAAAAGTTTCATACATAGGGACATAATAAGAAACAAACGGTACAACTTTTTATAATCACGAATATTTTGGTCTTATAATCTTTTTATAAAATAAAGTATTTTGACAATTAAGAACCATATTTAAAATTTAAAATAATAATGTAAATTTATAGAGCACCAGTTAATACCAAAATTTATACTGTTATAGCTCACAGTTAAAAAAAAAAATTAAAGAAGTAAGTGTGATAAAATATATGGTCATAATAGGGACATTTACCTAACGTAGAGAGTTCCAGTACGTACGTTCCAGTACGTTTGCAGTACGTACTGTGGTTATGGCCTGTAAGTCACAGCCATCTGATGAAAGTTATTTAAGTATAATGTTTCTGAGATCAGCAAACTCATCAAGGATGGCATACTGTAGCTAAGAAAAAGGACCATATATTAAAACATGTACTTTTATATCAGATTTTTGAACAAGTGCTTTTTTCCCTTAGAAAGCTGTTTAGGTACGTATACATAACGAAATTTTGGGAGTTTGAGATTTCCTGAATAATAAAACTGGACGTCTTTCTGTTACAATTGACAGAGATATAAAATTTTTGTTTATTGCATCTTAGTGTTGCTTTTCTAAAACTAAGATTTTGATTAAAAAAATTTATGCAGTTAAAATTGTATCAACAACTATTTTCACAAAGTTTTTGGACGGCATTACAAATCGAATGTAAAACATTCCATCCTTATCCATACTACTGCACCAATTTGAGCTGGTTTGACCTGATCTTGTGCTGTATTTCTTGGACTATGACTTAATATATCCATAATAGTTACATGGGATCTTGGTAGGTTTGATAAAGCTGATTTTCAAGGAGTTTTTGAAAGTTCTTAGAATTCCTCAAGAATAAATTGAGCTCATACCTTTCTTTAATTGTCTCCAAAATTCTTCAAGATTTTCCAATTCTGCTTGAAATAAACATGGTACTGGTGATTATCATGGTCCAAATATCAGTTCGTATCTCAGTATAAATTTTGATGCTATTGTCACCAACAGTTAAGCAGTGAGCTAACATTGCTATACACATTGAGTTGTTTCGGCAGATAATTAATAAGGGATTCTCTCGCTGACACATCTCTCATATATTGTTAATGAAAACGTTTAAATTGTATAACTTGATGTTAAGTTGATTTTTTAGCAAAGACAGAAAATTGATTCATATAAATAAGGATAATGAGGTGATCTGTCATGGTAATACTCTGATAAATATATAGTATTTGCTATATGCATATTTTACTAAAGTTTTATCAATATTCTTTCAGATCAAAAATAACTGAAAAAAAGTGTTTTATTGATCTTTACCTAAACAGACCTTTTTATTAAAAATTAAAGAATTTTCTGCAAGAATATGATCTTGCCACTCTTTTCAATTGATACACCACTTTTATTTGCATGAACATTACAATAATTTAACCGTAAACTTTTTATTTTTACTAATCCTTGTTTAGAATTCCAAAACTGTTTGACCGATTGTAGATATATACCGTAGGTTGCTAAATGTTTAACTTAAGCACTCAAAAACCCAACAACCCAATACCCGAAACTTCGTTATGTATACGGATATTAACAGCTTTCTAAGGGAAAAAAGCACTTGTTAAAAAATCTGATATAATAGTAAATATTTTAATATAAGGTCCTTTTTCTTAGCTACAGTATGCCATCCTTGATGAGTTTGCTGACCTCAGAAACATTATACTTAAATAACTTTAATCAGATGGCTGTGACTTACAGGCCATAACCACAGTGCGCACTGCAAAAGTTATTTTATTTTTTAACCATTTAAGGTTTCACATAGAGTTTTTCAAAATTAAATTATAAAAGTCTAAGAAGGGAAATGATGCATTTCTGATAGCCTCACGGTAGTTTGTATATAGTTCAGTTTAATAGTAGCAAACAGGGAAAGCCAAAGTAGTAGCAGACAACAATCTTTACTCCACACAGTACCAGAGACAGCATCACTGAAACAGCTTTAATGTGTTTAGTTGCTATCGTAAAATTTTTTTATTTTTTAGTGTAACAGATCTATTATAATGGATTGGCTGTTTATGACATATAAAAGAGAAAGCATGAGAAACTGGTGCTATATTTTTTATTATATACTAATAGTCGAAAAAATCTCACTTATTTTGTATCTTGTGAGAAAAAAAATATTTTTCTTACTATAAAAATATAAAAAAGTAATAGAGCTCCAACCCACTCATGTTTTTTTTTTTATGTGCTGTAGAAAGTCGATCAATTGCGACAATTAATCCATCAATCTATGCCTTTGGTCTACGCATAAGTTAATCTTGAATTTCGGTTTTTTTTTATGAATGTTGCTTATAAGAAAAACTACTTACTTCAGAGATAATGAATAATCTTGTTTCGTGAAGTCACTATTTCTTACTAAATAACTTCCTTCCTCCAAAAGGCGTAGAACTGCTTCAGCTTCAACTCTAGTTATTGATCCATGATACCAACTGTAAGTATAAAATATTTAACTTAAAATTGATTCTTTAACTCTCTACTATAATTGAAGTAAGTCAACAATTTAAAATTTACGTGAGCCTTTTAAAATTTCTTGTAGCCTAATAGAGAATGAAATATTTGTTTTCGTACGATGCCAAGTATTGTGTTTTGTAAGCAGAAGAATAAATATTAAAATGTTAGTAATACGTTTCAGCTCAGAAGTTTTTTTGTTAAATAAGGTACCTTTTTATTTTTAATGCTAAAAATGTTTTTCACTATACATATATTCTTACATATCTGAACTTTATAGAAGTACTTGAGAGTACTTCCTTCTAATAAACCTCAGCTGGTATGTCATCTGATATGTCAGCTGGTATATAATGTTAATATATCATCTGCAACTTAACTAAAAACATTTAAATTGATAGTTAACTATTAAATTATGGAATTCATGGCTGTCTAATGTGTCAATATGGTGATATCATCCGCATAATGCATCCAAAAACATACCTTTTGAAGCTCGAAAGTGTTGATTTTAATTATTAAACATTTTTTATTTTATTTCAGACAACACGTCAGGTGATATGTCATCTGATGTATCAGATGCTAAATGCCACGTAATGTGACACTGGAGTTGTTTTCACTGGAACTGTTAAATAATAAAAATCATCTTTCTCAAGTTTCAATAGGTATGTTTTTCAATGCATCATGCGGATGATAACATCCTATCAACATACGAGAGAGCTGTAAATTGCATAATTGAACATTTTTTTAAATATTAATGTATTCAGTTGAGTTCCAGATGACGTATTGACATGACATATGAGCTGATATGTCAGATGACATCTCAGATAAAACATCAGCTGACGTTTATTAAGAGAGCTCCTTATAAATATTATGAATAATAATATTTAAATATATATATATATCTTTATATAAGGTGACTTATGAGAACTTTGCGTGCTTTAACAATATATACTAATAACATAGAAAAGTTATGAGGACAGTCCGCATAAGTACGATTTTGTCCTCATAATAACCTTTTTTACACAATAATGTCCGCATAAGTCACCATTTATAAAGATATCACAATAAATGAACATCTGTCATTAAATGATTACAAGCTCTTTTAAGTACCTTTCTATTTTAGGAACGAAACTAATAAGGTAAAAAAACTGTCAAAACGTGGTGCAAGTCTTGGGACCTGCAGCAAAACTGTTGTCCTCGAGAACCATATGTTTTAGCAGCAATAGCTTTGTCTTTTTATCTGTTTCATACTGCGTATATATCGCAGACACCTTTTGTTTAGTTAGTAAAAGATCACTGAGGCTGTCACAATGTAAATAAAATGTTCTTATATATACGAAGATCCACACAAAGAGAATAAATAAAGTCAGACATTACTGTGTATATATATATCTGCTGTCTCTCGCTTGTTGGTTTCCACAGATTTACTTCCCATGAAGAACGTACCTCAAGGGCTTTTACTTTCAAAAAGTTTATTTAAAAAGCCAAGCTGAGATTCAAGATTATTGAAAAACAGTTTGTCAAGTGGTTTTCTAATTATAAAAAAATAAGGACAAATAAATTCTACATGAAACAAGCATTCTGGCGGTATAAAAATGAGACAGTAGCCATTATTATGCATTTCTCATCATAAGCCATGCCTTTTGTAGTAGGTATAAGGACAATTAGAAAGCTTAGTTACTAATAAAATTACTAACGATATCTGAGTTTTCACTAAAATTGCACTTAACTGTTTTGTGGAGAACAGTTGAGTTAATCTTCTACAAAATACAAACTGTTTTTTCAAAATAATAACTTGTTTTTATTGAAAAACGCTTATATTCATTTTCTTAATGTGTGCATTTTGTAAAAAATAATCACGTTCCACCTGCATAAAATATTCGTAAAGATTGTAAGCTCTTGAGATAATTAAAAACTATTTAAACATTACTTTGCAACATAAAGCTACATTTCCAACGGGAAAGTTTTTTTTGTTACACTCTACAACATAATAACTTTTTTTATCAAGGTGACAGTGCATGGATGAAATAACAATAATTCTAAAATGTAGCTAGTGTATCAATACTTAAATCTGTTGCAGCACTGAAAAAAACGAGAAAAATAATTTTCTTAAAATATGCTTATAAATTAGTTTATAACTAAAACTGAAGTAATATGTACAAAGAAAGTTAATTTTTTAAAACCTAGATTATTTTCTAAATCAATACCTCAGTCTAGTTAGAGATTTGAGAAGCACTTTTGTTACGTCCAAACTTCTAAGTGGAGGGCAAAACTCCTAGATTCGTTCTACAAACAAACAAATTTAATTTTTTTTGTTAGGAACCAGCTGTTGGCCCAAGGGCCCCATTTGCTTCAACTTACAGAATACTGTACGTCTAAATCGTTGACTATCAGTATGTATCTACTAGTTATAAATAATTAATCGATACCATTCGTAATAAATCTCGTACACTGCCTATACTTAACTGTTGTGGAAAGAATTTAAGTTTTGGAAATCAATTGACTGATACTTATTTATTTATAT